GTGTGTGTGTGTGTGTGTGTGTGTGTGTGTGTGTGTGTGTGTGTGTGTGTGTGTGTGTGTGCAGAGGAGGGGGGTGTTACTGTATGAAGCAGGATGGTGCGTCACTGAAGCACGAGCACAGTTCAGTGCTCAGGCACAAAGCTCTAAGTGACTGCATCCCCCTCCTCCTGATGCTAATAAGCAGATCTGGGTCACCTCATCCTCTCAAACACTCATGCACACACATTGGCAAGACATACACACAGGAACCACCATATTATCCACCTACACACACACTTCAGTTTGTTCAGAAATTAAAACACACTCACACACTCTGGCATTCATTCCTCCAGGAGGCAGGATGTGACATGGCGTCAGTGTCTTTGCTCGACACTCACAGCTCTTTGCTTGTTTGTCATGCAGACAGCGGTGATGAAGGGAACTAATAGGCTACAAGCTCTGTGGGACCGCCACGCGTGACGCCAAACAGCCTCCATTTTGTGCAGGGATGAACAGACTGTCCTTTCTCTCTGACAGTGGGGAACAAGGGGAAATGTGTTGGTATTAGCTCTGCTGGTTACTGAATTCATTTCAAATTTGTTCTTATTTTATTTGTTCAGTATCTTGTTGTGTATTCATTTGAATCTTTTGCTCTGATTCTACACCATTTTGAATTTAGTTCCTTAGAGGACAAAGAGGACTGTGGCATCAGTTGTAATTTTTTTTCTGTAAATCTTTAAGAATTAAGGAAACTGATTATAGAAACTATTTTTTCTGCTGTCACGTGAATCTACTTGCTTTTGTATCAATACTATTATAACATAAGATAAACCTCCTTTTAGTCATTTGCAACTTCAGCAGAAAAGTGGTAAAAAATGCTGTTGAAATGTTGCACTCCAATCACTGCCGTCACCACAATTACAAAAAGCCAAAACAAATTCCAGTTTCTGTTCTGAATAAAGGAGGAAGCCACTAAAAAGAGGAAACAAGAAGTTTGAGGAATGAAAATGTCTGCCAAGTGTCTCATTGTTAAATGAGCTTTGGAGCAATTTCATCTGTTAACTTGGTCATCTGGTCCTCATAAAGCCATTTTATTTTAAATTTACAGCCATGCTGCAGCAGAACATTTCAGTGTGTGTGTGTTTCATTTTGTGTTGTGTTCACATAAGTGTTCACTTTCTGTGTTGTGTGTGGGTGTGTTCTAGCATTTGTTACATTTTAAGGTCAATTTAAAATAAAATACAACTTTGTGGGGACCCACTGCTCCTTACAAGGTCCAAAGCCTGGGCTCTTAGGTTCAAATGCAGGTTTTGGGAACAGCTAACCGTGCTTTCACTAACTCCAAATCTGCTAATTAATTTATACGCTAAACTGCCAGGTATGTTTATAAA